CCCCTACTTGAAGACTTGGATGTCTTCCTGGCCAGAAGGGGTCAAATTCTTAGCTGGAGCCTGCGAGGTTGTTTTAAAGGCCAACACAGATGAGGCCAAACAAGAGATAGGAGGTCCTAGGGTTTTCAAATCTTTTCAGGCTGGGGAACCTGTCTGGAACCCCTGATCAAGAGACAAAGGTCTAATGACAGAAAATGTGCTATATTCAAGGGTTGGGGTTTTTCTTGGGGGGGGGGGAGGTTGATTGTTGCTATTTTGCCCTAAGCACCTAATGAAACCCTATCTAGTCCTTGCAAAAGAACTCAGTGGGACACAGTTTAAAAATCCTTCTCTATGTAACCAGAACAAGTCCATCCCGTGTCTTTTTGAAACTTAAAAGTAATTGCTAAGTCATCCGGCAAAGCGAAAATACAGATGAAATCCAGGTTTCTGCTGCTTCACATTACAGCTTATTCAGCAACTGCCTTCTCACATCTGGATTTGCAAAACCACCATCCTGATTGCTGCTTCTAGCAGAAACAAACAGTGCTAAAAGGGGGTGGATAACAGTAATACAATAATATTAATAACATAATTATCTTTTCTCTCTTTTCTTATCTCACATTTTCTGAAAAATGCTATTTTGAAGCCAGAGAAAAGCCTCCATATGCTGGGATTGAACTCTGCTCCTCAAGAGAGCCTTCTTGCATTTGGTCACTGATTAATTGTTTTTATCAGGTCAGTTTGGACTCAGATTCTCTGCAAAGCCTTCCTACTTCAACATCTATTGAAAACCTCGGCCTGATGTAAAACTGCAGAGGAAAAGCTATCCAAAATTTGGAGAGGTTATAAATGAAATAAAAGAGGAACTGGGGACTGAGTCCCTGCCCAGGCAAGAGAGCACCTGTGTGGGGCTCAGCCCCAGCAAGCCTGGCTCCCACACTCACCTGCTCAGCCAGAGGGTTCATTTCCAGAATAGAACAGAATATAGAATAGAACTAAATATAGAATAGAATGTAGAAAATAGGATAGAAAACAGAAATAGCAATAGCACTTAGACTTATATACCGCTTTACAGTGCTTTTACAGCCCTCTCTAAGCGGTTTACAGAGTCAGCCTCTTTCGCCCCCAACTATCTGGGTCCTCATTTTACAAACCTCAGAACGATGGAAGGCAGTGGGCAGTTAGCCTGCAATATGGCATTCTAATCACTGTGGAGGGAGGGAGGGAGGGAGGGAGGGAGCGAGGGAGGAAGGAAGGAAGGAAGGAAGGAAGAAAGGAAGGAAGGAAGGGCAATAGCACTTATATACCGCTTCATAGTGCTTTTACAGCCCTAAGCTGTTTACAGTATCAGCCTCTTGACCCCCCAACAATGTGGGTCCTCATTTTACCCACCTCGGAAGGATGGAAGGCCCGAGTCAACATCGAACTGACAAATGGCAGGCAGCAGAGGTACTACAATACTGCACTCTAACCACTGCACCACTGCAGAAATTAATAGAATAGATTAGAATGTATAATAAAATAATATATACACTGCAATGGAATGCAATACAATACAAGAATAGAATAGAGCTGGAAGGGCCCTTGGAGATCTTGTAGTCCAGCCCCCTGCTTAAGCAGGAGAACCTATACCATCTCAGACAAGTGACTGTCTAGTCTCTTCTTAAAAGCCTCCAGATGAGAAGGATAACAATAACAATAATACTACAGCCCTACTACAGGGGTAAAGAAGGGAGCTGCTCCCAGCTTCCACTCACCTTCCCGACCGTCCAGGAGTCGCTTCCTCCTCCCCACGCCCTTGGCACGCACACCGCCGCGCACGCCCCGTCTGCAGGCCGGGCGGCCATTGGACGGCGGCGGGGGCGTGGCGGGGGCGTGGCAGTGCGCCTGCGCCAAGGGAGGGCCCGCCGGGGAGCGGCTGGGGTCGGGGCGCGCGGGCTTCGGTTGTGGCGCCTCCGCCTCGGACCATGGTCTGCGCGGGCGGCGGGAGGATCGGCCCCGCTCTGCTGCTGCTGGCTGGCCCGCTTCGGAAGGGTACGTGCAGGAGGGGCCGGGGAGGGGGCCCGGGAAGCAGGCCCGCCGGGGCCGGCTCCTCTCGCGGAGGCCCCGCTGCCCTCCGAGCGCCGTCCCTGCGGAGGCTGCGGGCGGAAGAAGGGAGGGAAGGAGCGAGCGGGCCGGGCGGGTCCCTTTTCCCGGGAGGGTCGAGCCGAGCGGGAAAGACGTTGCAGTGGCGGCGCGGATCGGAGGTCCAGCGCTTCCCTCTCCGCCTATCCAGCAGTCCTGGAAGCCCGTAACCGCCGGTGTCGCCTGAGTGGAAGTGTTTTCCTGCCTTTTCCAGGTCAAAAGCAGAAAAAATGGCCGTTAGGACAGCACAGAATAGAGCTGGAAGGGAACTTGAGGTCTTCTAATCGAAGCAGCAGAACCTATAACATCTCAGACAAGTGACTGTCCTAAAAACCTCCAGATGAGAAGGATCATCCTATCCTATCCTTGCATCCTTGGAGGTCTTCTAGTCCAACTCCACCTGCTCAGGCAGGAAACCCAATGCCATGAAATGTCTTTGAATATTACTCGCTCTGGTTGGTAGTTAGGCTGTTGGTTTGAGCTCCGAGCTTGGCAGTGTGGTTTGGTTGCAAACATTTTGTCACCATTCGAGGAGACGTCATCGGTGCACTATGAGTTGTGCTGTCGGTCGGAACTCAGGCCTATAAATCCCTTTTTATGAGATGCAAATTAGTCTGAACGTTGTTTGTTCGAATATATGCTATGCCAGGCAAATGACTGTCCAGTCTCTTCTTCAAAGCCTCCAGTGATGGAGCACCCACAATACCTAAAAGCAAGCCATTCCACTGGTTGATTGCTCTCTTTGTTAGGAAGTTTCTCCTTAGTTCCTTCAACTCATAGCCTGGTTTGTAATTTCTTTTAAAAACACGTTGGTACTGATTTTTTAAGCCTTTTTAGCTTAGGTTGCAAATGAATACCTGACGATACGATATTAAAAACCAAATAGGTATTCCATATTTTTCAGTCAAGAATATAATTTGATTTGGTCAAACTTTCATTTTCGTTTACAATCTTTAAACGTGTTGGTAGCTCCTAATGCAAAAAATAATAAATAAATCCCATTTTGGTTGATTGTGCAATAAAGAAGACAAATTTCAGTTTCAGGTTATATAACTAAGTTCTCTGTTGCAGCTCAGTTTTGAGTTGCTTGCTATGTGATTTGCTGCATTGTGTGTTGGTATAGAAATATGCACACAAAGTTCAAAACCTTGAACCATTGGCAGGTTTATCCAAAATGTGTTGGATACACTTCATAAATTCCCAGCTTGCATGTTAGTGAGCCAAGATTTAAAGAGCATGATTTCAACTAAAATTTGCCTATTTCTCATAATTATTCCACGCTGTTGCGTGCAATATCTTTGTTTAGAATGCTGAAACCCAAAACATGTTATTTGTGAGGAAAAAGCAGTTGCTTTGAAGGTGGCCAGGATGCACGTTGATTCAGTTTAGGTACCAGCTCCATTCGATCACCTTCCCAGGCTATAGACCAAATTTACATTGGCCTTCCTTCATCTGGTGTCCTCCAGATGTGTTGGGAATATTAATCACAGAATTCTCAGGCACAGTTCTGAGAGTCATGGTGCTAAAAACATCAGGAGAGCAGTGAGTTGAGTTCAGCTCCTGATGACATAGAATAATAGAGCATAGAGAAACAGGATTGTAAGGGAGCTTGGAGGTCCTACTCCAACCCCTTGCTCAAGCAGGAAACCATATACCCTATAGCCATCTCATAACATCATAGACTCATAGGGCTGGAAGGGACCTTGGAGGTCTTCTAGTCCAACCCCCTGCTCAAGTACGAAACCCTACACCCTATAGTCATCTCATAACATCATAGACTCATAGGGCTGGAAGGGACCTTGGAGGTCATCTAGTCCAACCCCCTGCTCAAACAGGAAACCCTACACCCTATAGCCGTTTCATAACATCATAGACTCATAGGGCTGGAAGGGACCTTGGAGGTCATCTAGTCCAACCCCCTGCCTAAGGTAGGTGTCCTTATTCCATCCTGGTCAAATGGCTGTCTAGTTTCCTCACTGGCCTCACTGTCTCCTTAGTTTTTGGTTAGATCTTAAATGATCTTCCACCTGTTACTTCTTGTCTTGCCCTCTCCTCTGTGACATCCCCTCCAATACAGGAAAAACTATCCTATCACCCCTAGTCCTTCTCTTTGTTAGAGTAGACATACCTAGTTCCCTCAATTGTTCCTTGTATGATTTAGCCTCCAGTCCCCTGGTCGTCTTTGTTGCCCTTCTCTGCGCTTTGCACAGCCTCAACATCTTTTCTGTATCCCATAGTGAACAAAACTGGATGCAGTATTCCACGTGGGCCCTCACCAGTGCAATATAAAGCCAGACTATCACTTCACCTGACCTTGAGGCTGTCCCTCTGTTGAGGCAAGCTAGGACTGCATTAGCTTTTTTGGCAGCTGCAGCACACTGCTGGCTCCTACTTAAGTGGTGATCTATTAGGAAGCCTCTCACAGTTGCATCATCTACTCCAGTGTTGGCCTTTTCACCTCCAAGTGCTGTAACTGGAGCGCGAGCGCTGGAAACTGGAAGAACAGTTCCGCAGTGCCCATGTGTGCACTGGGAAGCTAAGCTTCCAGTTTCCGGTGTGCACATGTGCGCCGGTCACATGGTCTTCCGGTTTCTGGTACGCATGCATGCGCAAAGTCCAGCTGGCTGGCCCATATGCGTGCTCCGGAAACTGGAAGCTCAGCTTCCTGGCATGAACATTCGCACCAGGGAGCTGCAATTACAGTTTCTGGTGCTGTGTGCACCAGAACCTGGAAGAGCAACAGGCGATGGCTGGTGTGCCCAGAGAGATGGCTCTGATGCCACTTCCGGCATGCGTGCCATAGGTTCGCCATCACAGGTCTATTCTATACCTGTGCATTTGGTTTTTCTGGCCCAAGTGTAAAAAAAACCTTATTTTTGTCACTCCACAATTGCATTGTGTTGGAAAGGGCCTAGTGTTATCCTTCTGCATCTTGAGCCTTCTGAATCTGACCATAATGCTAAACCCATAAAAAGATAAAGGGAAACCCTCTTGAGCTGATCTCTTGATGACTACAGAAAAAAGTTGTTGGAAGAAATATCCATCTGGCCCAGTTCCAAGCCAGGAGAAAGCTACTGCAGACAAAACGGAGGCTGATTGGAAAGAGGATCCATTTATTGATGAACAGAATCACCAAGCACATGGTTCTGGTGCGGCTGACCCCATGAAGTTGAGAGTGGGAGATATTTATATTTGCACTTGAGTTTCCTGTTCCTGTGCAAGAACATGTATTCTATTGGCTTTTGTCAGACTCCCATGGGACCATGTACAAATCCTAGGAGTTTGTTCTGAGCTTAAGTTTGGTTGAAGTTTGGCTGATGCAATGAAGGGACTTGTTGGGCAATCCCTATGGTGGCAGAGGGCTAATTCTACCTTGGTTGGCTCTTGGGTGAGGGTATTTGCTTATGAATAGAGCTATCTCTCTTTATCTCTTAAATGCTGACACCTGCTGAGCACTATTAACAAAGGTGGGGGCTGCTTTTCAAGAGCATGTTTTTCTCTATTTCCCATGCAGGGAAATAGGATAGTCTGCCTTTTTAATATTTCTCAAAGTATTTCATTCTCCTAGGAGAGGGGTGGGTGCTAACTTCCTACAATGTGTACATGGTTTCTTTGGTAGCAGTACGGAAGTCATTTCTCCTTTTCCAATTTTTTAAAACTTTCCAATGTATGGTTCAAAGCTGAAATTTTCTGACTGGTGACCTCCCATGGGAGTAGTAAACTTGCTTAGTATTTTGAGATCAGCCAAAAACAGCTGGAGTTGTGCTATATCTATCATGAGTGATATGAGAGTGTCTTCTGCCCTTAGGTAATCCATTTGATTACTGGATTCCTAGTGTTAAATCTACTGCCATCAGCCATATGATCAACCTAACCAGGAGGCTGGTGAGAAAAGCCAAGTTTCCGAGGAATACATATTCTGCAGCTAAGGGCAGTAGAATCAACACAATATTCTATTCTTCTTCTGTCCTTAGCTACAGAATCTCTAGTCCTTGGACACCCATTGTTTTCTCACCAGCCTGTTGGTTAGGTTGATCGTATGGCTGATGGCAACAGATTTTAACGCTGGGAATCCAGTAATCAAATGGATTAGCTGGTTTGCAAGAGAAGTGCCCAACATAGGTATGGAGTATGGGTGGGGGTATAGAACCAAATGATTACTTTCTTCTCTGCTACTGGTATATTTTCTAATTCATTCACGCCTTCTCTTTTTTTGAAAAGGAGGTGTGATTGACATCTGCAAGAGAGGATGGTGTGGGCAATGTATACGACAGAGCAATACTGATAGTCCTCTCTTAATGACACTAATTGGCACTCCCTCACTAAAAGTCTGTAGAGATTCTCCGTCATCCAAATCATGGTTGTCCCCAAGGTGCTTTTTCAAGAAGCAACTGGACTTTCTTGTGAAGACATTTCACTTCTGCAATCCTTCCCTTCCCCACCATCCTGTCAGAGCTGAAGAAGCTTCTTGGATGAGAAGCAAAGTGTCTTCGAAAGAAAAAAACAAAGTCCAATTGCCTCCTGAAAAAAGCATCTTTGGGACACTCCATCGCTAAGCGATGCAGATAAGAAGCAATGTTGGGTGACCATGCTGATTTACAGTGGCAGTTCCAGCAATCCTAGTTGTTGTTATTAGGAGAATCCCATGCAATTGTAACACCCACTGCCTGCCACTGCCTACTGAGGCTTGACTTTCGGAGACCAAACCTCCACTGTAGGGAGGAGGAACCGACCAGGTGGTTCCACCCCAGGCCACTTATGGACCGCTTGAGGTTCCAGACGGAGCTTGGGGTTATTCCTGATACTCTCGCCCGCAGTCCGGTGGAGCCTCTGGTTGCTGCCTGCAACTCGGCAGCGACGGAGTCTCTTAACCGGATTGCGCCACTACGGCTGCTCTGAGGCAGTGGATC